TAGTGAAATGAAATAAAGCCATATTTTGTTTCATTTCATTTGCTGATTTAGTTACACAATCTGTGCCTATAAATTCTTCAAAATGTTCTACATTATCAAGGTGGTTTGTGCGACTGATACCAGTACTTGTAATAATATCATTAGTAGCAGTATACATGGCATGGGCCTTTAATCCTACAGTAAATTCACCAATTGATGAATATGCATTAAAACTACGTGAAAAGTACAACAAAACTCTAACGAGGTATAAAGATCCAGATATTAATAAATACCCAGCTGCTGGTCCAACAGCTCCTGCTGTTCCTTTTATACCTCCAAAATTAATCAGATTGAAAAACCACCAGGAGAAAGCAGATGCAGAATTTTTACATAGCATTGATAAGGAAATACTGAAACATGATAATTTTGAAAAAATAAAAATTGGTGATCTTTTGAAGCCACTAAGAGATAAACCATTAAAATTTGTATTAATTGAAGGAGAGCCTGGCATAGGAAAGAGCACATTAGTTAAAGAGTTAGCACTACGATGGGCTAAAAGAACAGATAAATTATTAAACAACTTCAAAATTTTATTTTTCATTCCATTGCGCCTTGAAATCTATCAAAAAGCTGAAAGCATTGAAGACCTTATTGATGTTGAATGTATTAATATAATTTCTTTGATCAAGAGAGCAAGAGGAGCAGGAGTTCTTTGGATATTAGATGGTTTTGATGAGCTTCCGCATCATTTGAGAAAGAGTTCAACTTCAATATTCATTAAACTTATAAAAGGAGACATTCTTCCCAAGTCAACAGTGATAGTTACAAGCAGACATGCTGCTACTGATCCCTTGCTTATCTTTTTAGAAGATGATTCAAAACATATTGCTCTGAGAGGGTTTGGGTCAACTGAAATCTTAAAATATGCTTCTAAATATTTTAAAAATCAAGTAGTACTTTTTGAGTTTCAATCTCATTATAGTGGCAGTACTGTGATTGAGAATATGCTGTACAATCCAATGAACTGCTTCATAATGTGTAAAATATTCACTGATTTTATACATACTAAAAATAATAACAAGTACCCAATAACAATGACAGCAATTTATAATTACTATGTTCGTGCATTACTCAAGCGACACCTCATTGATGCTCAAGTAATTGATATAAACTATGAAATGCCTCCACATTTAATACGTGAAATTGATTTTAATATTTCTAAATTAAATGACACTTGGGAAGATTTTTATTATCTTTCTCGAGTAGCTTATAAAGGTGTAATAAAGCAGGAATATGTTTTTGGAAAGGAGCTTCATAATGTTTCAAAACTGAGTATGATGGACACCATCATTAGCTTCACTGGGTTTGATAAAGATGAGTCCAGCAGTTTCATACACACTACACTACAAGATTATTTTGCAGCAATTTATCTTGTCAATAATCCTGGCTCCATGTTTACTGAAACTGACATGAACCAAAACTCAAATCTTGAGGATGTTCTTATTTTTTATGTTGGATTATCAAAGCATATTGACAGAAAAATAGGCACACTGGATATGCTAAGAACTAATGTTTTCCATGGTTCATATAATCTAATATATTTAGGAATAAGTAGTTTACTGCTCAGATGTATATATGAGAATGATTTACTTTTACACAATCAAGACTATAATTTAGACTTTGGTCATACATGGAGCATTGCAAATGTACCTATGAATAATTTTGATTACTTCATTGCTGGTTATATTGCTGCTACTCACAATATTACACTCAGAATTAATGTATCACATGCAACTCAATTAACAGCATTCAAAAAAGGACTTCAATTCCAGCAAAATTCTGTCAATGGAAAAATTAATATTAGGCTGCACTATCTAGATTTTTCTAGAGCAGATCCTGTGGCTGAAGTTGACCTACCAAGTGATGCAGTAATAGGATTAAATTTAATGCTTGATCTAGATGTATATTCAATTTGTCAAATTATTTCAAAGTTTCCATTATTGGAAGAGCTTCTTATTAAAATTGATGATAAATTTGACTGTCATTCAACAATATTAGAGCATCCTTTAATGAAACTCAAAGAACTGGAAAGGTTGGCAATCGTAATCATGACTTACAATTATAAAAGCATTTTAGAAATACTCAAACAATTTGTTGTTCCTGAACGACCTCTTAAAATTTAGTTGTAG